CCAGAGGCAATAGGTATAAGAATGTGTCGGATCTCATTATTATACTCGTTGTGGTCAACTCTTTAGAATAGTTCATCTCTTACACAGATTGATACTAGTTATTCTATCTTAGTATAGAATTAATTGTTTATTCTTTTGGTTAAATCCTATAACTCTTTTCCACATAGCACTTCGCAAACAATTACACGGACTACCGCTTTAGTCTACTCGCCCTAACCCGGACTAAGACCAGAGAAGTATAGCCGACCCCCGTGTAACACACAAAAAATTTTATTATAGACCTAGTAGGTGTAAGCCTATAACTAGAGAGCTTCTATATATACTTTAGAAGCTTAGCTTTATATTATATAGTAAGTAATTTTATATTTTCTATAGCGGCTGTATAGGACTAGGTTTATTTATAGTAGTGGCGCGTTAACGTTAATAATATAATACTAAACTTTTTTGTAGCTACTCTATATAAAAGTCGTTTTTTAAGATTTTACGTATTAACTACTATAAGCGCTTTATTAATTAGAGTTATAGTAGTAGAGTTATTACGCGTTAAAGTGGGTGGGTCTGTTTTAGGAAGGTGCAGATGGTGTTGCTGTAACGGGCTAAACGCCCTTCGCCTCCCATACTCGTCTACGACCTCGTTTACTCCACCTGCCTGGCCCGATTGTTACCCTAGCAACCAGCATTGTATATAGATAGCTACGTAGCCGAGAGCTTAGCTCTCTATCGAATACAATCTAGTTACCTTGGCCTGTCCGATCGTGCTCCCGAGCTTAAGACTACCCTCCGGGGTCGAGCCCCTTACATTTTGTATTCGATCACCAGCTAGCTAAGAGGAGATCAGACAAGCGTCTAGCCCTCGCCAGAAAATTTTTTACTATCCACCAGAACTATGTCCAGCCCCAGCCAGAACCAGAACGCTCTTCTGCTGCTCGTACAGCAGCTCCAGCAAGAGCTCCAGAACCAGCGATCAGAGATTACCTCCCTGCGCGACAGCGTCGCCCAGCTCCAGCTCCAGCTTCAGTCCCGCCAGCACCCGAACGACGCTCAGACGCGAGTCCGAGTGCGCCTACCAGACCCGCCCAAGTTCGACGGCAAACCGCACACGCTGCGCACATGGTTACCGTCTATCCGAGCTAAACTCCGATCCGACCAGCTCACAGGAGCTGATGCCTTCGATTACGTATGGGATCGTCTTGAGCAGCCTCAACAGGCGTCTATCCTCCACCTCCGCGAACAGTCTGAAGAGCTTTCAGATTGGGACCCAGAACAGATTTTTTCGTTTTTCCAGC